TTGATCTTAATTCTCTTTCCCCCTTGTGAAGTTAAAGGAGGTCGGATGCCCCTCCACGCCATTTTTACAGTTATTATATTTCTATTGTGAGTTAGTCTCAAGTACCCAGGAAGGAGACTTATTGCTCTACTTCTACCCACTCTTACCTTCCAGGTTATTATATTCATATTGGTTACTGTATCGTATGCTGTATTAGTTCCATCTTGTTCTTAATGCCCCCACCTTGGTTCACCATTCTCATTTCTTTTATACACAATGATGTTTCCTACTTACCAAAATGGCTGGATGTCTTTGTCCTTTGCATTGGCATTCCCTGCCTTTCTTCGCAGTTCAGCTCTCTTCTTCCAGCATCCACCCACCACACTGCTGGCTGCATTGGCTCTCCCAAGACAGCATCAGTGACACTGAGGACCCAGCCCTGGGCAAGAACCCATCTGCGCACTTCACTGCCTCCCACACCTCTACTGCAGTCAAGTGGGCCCACTGGGGGCCTCCTTTACCTTGGCCGGACGCCAGCATGTGGCACCTTCCACACCCTGCTGGCCTGACTCAGAATGGAATTGGGTTGGTGCAGTGCCCTGTCCATTCCTCTTAATCCCCTCCCAGAAAGCATATTGGATTGTCCTGCTCAATCGCCTGTGGCAGACTTGAGGGCTTAGTGTCCCTGCTGTGTCCCACGAAGGCCCTGCCAGGGCTGTGGTTAGAGCGTCGTCTTCTCTCCTAAGGCCTTATGAGGCCGTTCCCCAGTCCCTTCCCTGCTCCTCACAGTCACATCCCAAGTCCAATAGGCCTGTGGCCTGGACTAGGGTGAGGCAAGTGAGGCTCCTAGGTAGCTCACTCACCTCACCCTAGTCCTAACCCTGAACCCCACAGATGTTCTGTCATTCTTGTGGGTGCTTTGGATGCAGGTGACTCTCTTGGGCCCCCTAAAGCCAGCTGAGTCCCTCCTTCTCTGAGGGGCCTCCTAAGACTGTGACATTTCACTCCTTAAAAAAAAAAAAAAAATTATAGCCGGAACAGGTGGACTGAGTTCGCCATCTTGTGGCCGTATTTGCCAACTACAGTCAGGAAGGTCAGTTCTGTGTTGCTTTTACTGAGTTAAACCCAAACCAAACCCATTACCATGAAGTTAATTCCAACTCATAGCGACCCTGTAAGACAGAGTAGAACTGCTTCATAGGGTTTCCAAGGCTGTAAATCTTTACAAAAGCAGACTGTCACATCTTTCTCCCATGGAGCAGTTGGTGGGTTTGAACTGCTGACCATTCAGTTAGCAGCCAAGCACTTTAACCGCTGTGCCACCAGGGCTCCATTCTAGGTAAGGTGAACTCCTTTTCAAAAAGAAGGGAAACCATGCCTGGTATCCATCACTGACTTAAATATTTACACACATAAAACAATATACAGTGTCTTAATGCTTGTAACTCAAAACAGCTGAAAAAGTAAAACAACTTTACTTCTTAAAAACAAACAAAAATAGTAAGGACTCATTTAAATGTGATTTACACTGTGGCTCTGGCCCAAACTTGGGACTGCTGGGGTTCAACTGCTGGCTGAGCAGAGGCCTCCCAAGACCCTCATGGCCACTCTTCTACGTTCTTCCAAGACCACTAGACCCCTACATGGGACGCAAATATCACGGCAGATTCCAGATGCCTGGCTAGGGTTCCAGGTCTCACCTTGTTATCTGGGAGGCCCTAGATAGGGCCCAATGGGCAGCCACAACCTGGCTGCTGGCCATCGAGGACTCCAAGGGGACCTCCCTTCACCAGGGGCCAACATACTAAACATTAAGTGCAAACACATTCTTGGCTGCTTGCTGCCCACTCGATTTTAAACACAAATGCACACTTGGGTACTAAAACCACCTGGGAGTGTTTGATTGTAAGATGACCATCCTGAGGGGTGCAAATGATTAACGCGCTCAACTGCTAACTGGAAGGTTGGAGGTTTGAGTCCACCAGGAAGCACCTTGGAAGAAAGCCCTGGTGATCTACCTTAAAAAAGTCAGCCATTGAAAACCCTATGGAGCACAGTTCAACTCTGACACACGTGAGGTCACCATGAGTCAGAATCGACTTGACAGCATGCGTTGCAGTCAATTACTTAATATGGCCCTCTAGCCATAGTCTTTGTAACTCCCACCAAATGACTGGGTGGGACTATGCAAATCAGGTGTATGAAACCCTAAGGAGGGGACTGGTCAATTTTGCTATCCTGCTAGGCTTAAAATGAGCCATCCCAGAAGACAGAGAGGATCTCACCACCACCAAGAAAGAAGAGCCAGGAGTGGAGCGTGTCCCAAAGGACTTGGGATCCCTGCTCTGAGAAGCTCCTAGAACCAGGAGACTGAGACAGAGAGAGAGAGAGCTGTGACACTGAAGATGGCGAGAAATGACGGCAGAAAAACAGCAGCAGCAGAGGCAGGAGATGGCACGGTGGGTTTCCCAGCCCGTGGAGCAAGAAAACTGAGTGCCTTTGGCAGGAGACTTGCTGGTGGAGTGGGGTGCCTCCAGGCACTTGATGGAGCTAGGTTTGCAGACACACGGAGGTAGAGCTGAACACCTTCGGGCCGAGGCTTATTGGCAGAGTGGGGTGCCTTGGGGCACTTATTGGCAGAGCTAAAAGAACTTTGTGACAGTTGCCCGAGTAGGGCAGAGGAACGCCAGAGAGAGGTGTGCCTGCAGGCATGGCTGAAAAGAGGCTGTCCTGATGGAAGAACTGTATCCTGAGCATTCCTGAACCTGTTACTTCCCTAATAAACCCCATAACTGTGAGTATTGTCTATGAGTTCTTTGTGGCCATTGCAATGATTTATCAAACCCAGCATAGAAGCAGAGTGCTGGAAGAGGGACAGATGCTGTCAGAATTGATAAAAAGAGCTAGCGAGAGGAGGTATGTCTGATCTTCGCCTGACAGCAGTCAGCCTTGGCTGTTGATCTTGATTCTCCTTCCTCCTTGTAAAGTTAGAGGCGGTCAGATGCCCCTCCACAGCAGTCTTACACAGCAACTGGCTAAATTAACCTCAGTGGTTTATCACGTTAAAAACGTGTAGGAAATCCAGTTTGAGAATCAAACACTGCCTGCGCCAGTGCTGCTGCTGCTGCTGGTGGCAGAGGGAACAAACCCGTAACAGTCCTGTTACATACACTGTTGCCCACAGAACATTGGGGCCACAGGACACATCTAGAACACCCACCGTGAGCTGGTGCTTGGCTGAGGGCTGTACCTGGAGCACCCACCGTGAGCTGGTGCTTGGCTGAGG